TTCCGGTCGTTTTTTGAGTTTCCAAATTTCCAGATCTCAAAAAGAATTTGAAATAATTACATACAAAATCACAAGTAGCAGAATAGATTGAAGGTCAAATATACGAAAAGAATAGATGTCCTCAAAAGATATTCACATTCGCATCACGAACTATCATCGGTAGTTTTAGCAGTACTATCGGTCGATTGCTCTTGTTCACCTTGTGTTGGTGTCGTCATTTTTTTGCCCGAGGAATTTTCGTCGTTACTAAGGATATGAACGAATTTTGTTCTACTTTAGAAACAATTTCGAGTTATTACAAGAAATAGAGAAGTGAATAATAATAGACCTTGGGTTATTTTCCGTATTCAGATCGCCACCCTTCTCTTCAATTTCGGCCTCATGTACCAGAGAACTTTCTTTCACGGGTGATGAATTGTGAGTAGTAGCTGCGATGGCATTCGCATGAGGGATGGTATCAGGAGATGGGTGTTGAACACCAACCGGACTAGATGTCTTTCCGGCTTTTGAGAGAGCATAGTCACCAGAGTCAAAGTACTTGCGTTCCTACATAATTACAATTTATATATAAATTATTATCTATCCGATTCAAGGTAACTATAGATTTCCAGGGAAAGATCTCGTGAATAAATGAATACCTTCAATTTGTTATTCAAAATATCTTTGCCCGTTGGTAACCTGCCATACATGCGAAAAAGCTTTCTTTCTTCTTCGGTTAATTTCTATAAACAACAAATAGGTTCAGTCTCCCATGGTAAATATTTTATTACTCTTTCTCACGATGCATCGAAATTACTTAGTTGTATGACTTTCACTTGTATTGTTTACTGTTGGTAAGTTGACTTACGTCTAGGTCAACCTTGTTCTGTCTTGATGGAAGCATGTTATCAATTCTTTTCTTTCGATGGGAATAGTAAAACAGGTAAACATCAGATTATTCTCGTTTGGCTGCCTATATCATACTAGTTTGGTTTCATGATTGGTTCAGGGCGCTCCTGAATGCATATTTGTTTCGCAAATATGGAAATTGCCAACTGTAAAATGTTACCCAAAACTTAAATAATTTTGCCCAAATTTCCTTTTTTTATTAATTATAAATAGGGAATGTTATAAACAGAATTTTTTTTTTTAATTTTTTAATTATTAATTATAGATTTTATTTAAATTATTAATATAATAAATTAAAGAATTTTAAATTAAAAAATTTAATATAAATTCAATTTATTCATAAAATTAAAAATTTTAAATCCTTATTTAATTATAAACAAACAAACAATATTTTATTAATTTTATTTTATAATTAAAAAAAATTATTTTTTTTATATTTTATAAAATCAAAAATTTTAAATAACAATAAAAATCTTTTAAATAACAATATAAAATTTAATTTCAAGTTACAAATTATAAATAATTTTTTAATCATATATTGTCTTTAATAATAAATTAACAAATGAATAAATTTTTTACTAGAATATATAGAGAAATAAATTTGTATAATAGGTTAAACACAATTTAAAGAAAATCAATTACACAATGTTTGCAAAATATTGATTTTATTAAATTAAAAACATAAGTAATTACAAAATTATTTTTTTTATTTTTTGAACATTTCTTTTGACTAAATTGATGTAAAAGACCACCGATCAACGATTAGGATTCAATCATTTAACCAATATAAACAATTCTTGTGAATTCATTTTTTTTAAAGATTAAAACATTCAAAATCCGGCTATATTATAATATTATAGATTTTAAAGACTATTTACAAAGGAAAATTTTTGTCCGGATAAGAATCAATACGGAGAGTCCTGGATAAAACGACTCGACACTTATACTGATTACAAAGTTGCAGTTAAAAGATCAAATTTCCCCCCAAATATATAAAATTTACTCTCTTGCACTGTTTTATATCAATTTTACGATCTCCCATAATATTATTATATAGAATAATAGCACTTAATATCTACAAACTTCAAACATTGTTTTACTTTCAGTTTGAAGTCAATGTCTTGTATGACCCACTTAAAAAGATGCTGTGTGAGGTTTCTTTTTCAGCAGTTCGATGCCTTCCATACTCGTCATCTTCTTTTCCCCCAGGTCCAATCCATTATTCCTTTTAATACCAAGTACCACCTCTTCAACTCTCATTAATTCCGCAACGAATCCAATATTTGGACAAATTCCGCTTCGGCGCTCCATCACATAATCATATGCGCGTTTCAGGGTCCATTTACGCGATTTAATAAGAAAAGCCAGAACAGCAGTTACCGATCGTGATTTCCCAGCTTTGCAATGAACATACACAGGCATCTGATCTCTTTCGGCTTGTTCTGTTTTGTGTAAACAAAATCAATTCAATATCAAGCAAGAAATTATTAACTCTACAACTCTGAAGAAAAAACCATACCAATAAATGAGACAGCTATTTTCAAGCCACTTTCCACATCCTCCTCGACGGAATCCTTAACGTTCAACTTTAGATACTGATCGAACTTTTCATTCAATCCAAGTGTATCTGTGCATTCGAATGCCATATTTAAGATTCGTTTAATACCTTTGGCTTCAATTTCTTCGACTTCTTCCTTTTTTGATATTTCTGGTCCGAGATAAAGAAAATTTGGAATAATCGTTGAAACGATAAAGGTGGTTTCCGGGTGTGTAATAGGAGCTGGAGTGCTTGGTGAATCAAGACTACCATCAAGGTTATTCGTCTTTACAGTGTTCATAAGTTGATTATGTGCTCCGGCAGAATATAATGACAAATTTTCACCTAAAATTTATGGTAACAACATAAATCATTGAACATTATTAATGAAAATCTTTTAAGTACAAGGGTTTATGTGCGATAATTTCTCACTTACTCAATCTTCTATCACTGTTGGTCTGTGGAAAAAGATACTGTAGTCCATTAGAGGCGCGCCTTCCCCTGGAGAGTTCAGATTGTTTTATAGCTGCTGGATCGGCTGGTGACTGTTGATGATTTTCGTCCGACTGTTTATCGCTACGTTTTCGCCGCAATGAATTCCTCTCGGTGTTTACGGAAAACAATGAATCTCGACGAACTAACCCTGGACCCCCTTGATCTTGAATCTCGAGATCCATTGTAGTACTTTCACTAGATTCATCGTGATCACAAGTTTCTCCCACTTCGAGCCCAGAAACGATAAATTCTTTACATTTATCCCAAGAACGGAATGCTTCAAACCCTCCTTTAAGCCAATACACCCTACCCCTATGGATATCACAGTTTTCGTCGATATTTTCGGATGATGGTGTATTATGGAAGCTTAACATTGCACGTTCCAGAACGCTTAATAATGTCCATCCAGGGCTAACTTTATCAGTTTCGTCCATTGTCTCATCAAAAACTATTATATCATGTTGATACTTGCCACCATCATCATGTACCCTATCAAGATATCTATCTCGTCCCTCAGGAGTTGTAATGAAAGAATCAAGAGAAAATTTGCTCATTGTTCCGCGACGATACCGTTTTATAAGTAAGGTTGGCAAATTTACATTGAATGACTCACAAATGTG